GTAAATAGTGTACATAATACATCATCTCAGAAATATGGACAGATATCATCCATGGCTGACTAATTTATGGAAACTTCTTGCTCTATGGATGCACCTGATAGCCTTTCTGAAGGTGGATTATTTTGTCTATTTATAAACAATGAACAAAATAAATTTATTTGTAAATGAGATAAATAAATATGCTAGTCAGATCAAAGAAAGAGCAAACAAAAGCTGGTGTCTACTCGTATGTAAACATGAGGAAGAATGTCACTTTTGGCGAAATGAAAGCCTTCTTAAGTATTTTTGCTTCTTATTGCACCCCAGAACTCCACAAGGAGTAATAAATTGTTAATGTATTTTATTTTTTGTTTTTTATTTTGTCTTTCAATTTTTTTGTTTTCAATGTCAAAACATGCATGCAAAATGTAATGCATTACATCAAAATATTACTCATCCATTCTTTTATTAGTATACAAAAAATAGTATACAAAAAATAAATTCTAAAAATACAAAGAAAGTTATAACAATTTTAAAACAGTAGGTGCTCATATTTTTTGCACCCTCAAAAAAATTCAGTAGCAGGGGGAACAATTTTAGAAAGAATTTGGTGGGGTGAAGGTTAAGATAATTGGGTGGAGTAATTAGATATAATTTAACCTCCTCTATTCCCCAAGGATGTGCAGCCATACAATTTGGACCCTATCTTTCATAGATATCTTCATCTTGGGATGGCTGTAGTGTCAGGTTGGTTTACATACGGTTTTAAACTGGCCAAGGAGTTGGTGCCTCTTAGGTCGTCGATTGTTGCTGGTAAGCTGTGTTTCTTACTGACAAGAAAAGGGGGGTTGTCCTTCCTCTTGATTAAGTAAGCCATGGTATTTTTTGGCAACAGGGCTGAACAAAAGAAAGTTGTGCTCTTGTCGGAAGAAGGAGAAGGTCTGATCTTGGTTGAAAATGATAGTTTTAATAATAGTAAATAAAGATAGAATATTTACAAAAGTTTGACATAGCTTAACACCTCTTGGAAACAAAGTGTGTATTCGAAACTTTTATCATAGAATCGAATATTGAGTTAAGTTCAGGTGGGTGTGAATTGTGTGTGTGTTGATCAGCCAATTTTTGAAGTGTCTCTCCTGTCAATTCTCCTGGCTGTCTCTCGACTGACTCTCTCTGCCAGTCACCAAAATGCGGTATATATAAGGACCCATCTACCCAAAACATTTTCTCACCCTCTCAAGAGGGGGGGGGGGGGTAAAAAAGGGTCCTTTCCTCTGGTTTGTTTTTAATTTATCCAGACTTTAAATATCACAAACCTTCAAGGCCATCTACATTCAAAATAAGAACCCTTTCAAATTCACCTGGTAAGCCTTTAGGCAAACATAGACAAAGGAAATGTTGTCACCTGTCAAAATCTGCAGTCCTTTGAACAACAGACGTTTTCACAATGAAATTTCCTGAGAAAATTTGATTTCACCAAAAAATTCAAACTTATAAATTTTTCTGTCAAAAACCAGAAATATAAAATACACTTCCCTAACAAACAAATTACAGCAGATATATCAATGTCAACTTTTGGAGGTGGAGTCGTCTATATAAATAAGCCCCATTCCCCCCCCCCCCCCCATACCCACAGCTAGGGAATTGGGCCCAGCAAGGAAGGTTACCAGAGATTTGCACCAGTTGAGTGATCAACTGGTTGGTTATTACTTTTGCATTTGCGACAAGATTTCCCAAATCTACATCCTGCAGTAGAACACTTGATTTTGTAGTAGATAATCATGACATGTTATTCAACCAGTTTTTTTTTTTTTATATTCTAACCTGTTGTTAGAGTTATCAACAGTATTTATTTATTGAAGGAGTTCTTATTCCAGTCTGATTCTGAAGTTGCCCTGGATGCAAAGAGACAAAAGTCACCACAGTTACAGGCAGGAATTATACAATCTAGTCTGTCTACACAATGTACACAGAGGAGTCCACACTAGACCTTCTCCTTCTTCCGACAAGAGCACAACTTTCTTTTGTTCAGCCCTGTTGCCAAAAAATACCATGGCTTACTTAATCAAGAGGAAGGACAACCCCTTTTCTTGTCAGTAAGAAACACAGCTTACCAGCAACAATCGACGACCTAAGAGGCACCAACTCCTTGGCCAGTTTAAAACCGTATGTAAACCAACCTGACACTACAGCCATCCCAAGATGAAGATATCTATGAAAGATAGGGTCCAAATTGTATGGCTGCACATCCTTGGGGAATAGAGGAGGTTAAATTATATCTAATTACTCCACCCAATTATCTTAACCTTCACCCCACCAAATTCTTTCTAAAATTGTTCCCCCTGCTACTGAATTTTTTTGAGGGTGCAAAAAATATGAGCACCTACTGTTTTAAAATTGTTATAACTTTCTTTGTATTTTTAGAATTTATTTTTTGTATACTATTTTTTTTATACTGTCAAGTCCCAATATTGTAAGATTTTTGGAAACCCAAATCAACCCTATCGAGATGACACACTGACCAAGGAGGGAAAAGAAAACCGGATGACCTATAAGATTGGTATTACTCAACAAAGCTAGTGACTGAGAGGAAGAAGATGGGGCTTGAAGACAGGAGAGAGTGGTGTGCGAGTTGAGAACCTGATAGGTGAGGATTACACAGAGTGTGGCAGTAATACCTTATCTAGGAGGTATATACCTCCCACATAATGGTAAGAAATTAGCTAGATGAAGACACCATTGTCACAGATGTCTTACTTTTATGTAAGAGGTATTTCTGACACACCCTGTATAAGGCTGAAAACAACTCAAGCTGCTATGGGTATTTCTGCCACAATCATTGAATAAATTCTTTTGAGATAGATTTATTTGATCTGAGAGATACAAGTTTAATATTAATACTAGAGTTGGTCAGATTGGCAATTTATGTTTTGGTATCAGTTTCTGTTTTTTTTTTCCATAGTTTTCAATTTGGTTTTTTGGTTTTTAATTTAGTATTTTTGCTTTCTAGGGAAGCTATTCATTTTCTTGTGTAATTTCCAGTCGATATGTGATTTCGTTTGAGATTGATAAATTTGCAACTTAGTCCATTCAACTCACGATTTTTTGTGTATTTCTGGTCCAATCTTAAAAATATTCATATAACTGGAATGAAAATAATATAATCTTTCTAAATATGAAATTTGTATGTGCTTTTATTCTTTGAATTATTTTTAAAACAGTATTTTGCTTTGAACAGCTGAAAATGTGAAATATGATTTTTCAAGACTAAATTTTACACGTTATTTGTTTTGCAAAATCAATATGACCAATCTTTATCAATATTTTTAAAATTGTACACTCAATTAGAAGACACCTTAAACTACAACCAGGAACATGTTTATTTTTTCTCTGACCCATGTAAACAAATTCCTTCAAAAATTATAAGGTAAGCAAAAAAAAAAAGAAAAAAAGACAAATTGATAGTAATAAATGTGTGGTAAAAGAACTTTCAAATTATTGAAACTACTGACAGAGCCATGTTTTCAAACAATTAATTATTTTATTTAGAGGCAAAAAATTTTCCTGTTTATATTAAAAAATGCTGAAAATAATTTGCTTTTAAAAATGCAAAAAATGAAATACCTCATGTTTAAAATAATTAAAAATACGGCAATTCTTTGCTGGTACACCAGTCAACTGTTTTGGGGGTTTTGAAAATAAATTTCTTCTAAACAAAGAAAATGAATGAGTTATTTTTTCCCCTAAATAAATTTCTGCTTTTATCTAGTGAATACACCTAAAATTAAATATTAAAAACAATTAAAAGCTTTTAATTTAATTTTTAGAATGAGTATATTTCCAAGTCTGTGGGTATCACCTGTTCTTTTTTAGATACACATTTTAAAACTGAAATCAAAAACTCATCCTAAGTGTATTCGCTAGATAAAAACAAAGATATTTGTAAAAATAAAATGAATTAATTTTCCTTGTTTAGAAGAATTTTATAGGCATAACTGTAAAAAACACCCACCAACCACTCCTGGCTAAAAAAGAATAATTTTTATTTTGGGTTTAAAAAAATGACTTGCAGTTTTGAAAATATGCACATTTTAAAAATGAGATTAAAACTTACTTTATTTTTTTAATATCTAATTTTGGGTGTATTTGCTAGATAGAAACAATATATTACTTGTAGAAACCAATTTTTTTTTTTTTAAACTAGAGATTCGCATATCTGGAAAATATACACATTTTAAAAGTGAAATTAAGAACTATTTTAATTATTCTTAATATCTAATTTAGGTGCATTCCCTAGATTAAAAAAAAAATTTATTTATAAAAAAAATCTCCATTCATTTTTCTTGTTTACAACAACTTTATTTCGTGATTTGTGTACTGGCAAGAAAAAATCCGACTTCATAAAATTTAATTTAACATTAAGACAAAACTGGCAGCTCTTTTTTTTTTGTTTTTACTTTCTATTTTGTTGTTAACTTAATTTTACCACATAAAGTTTTTTTTTTTTTTTTTTGAAAACTGAAACAAAAAGATTTCAAACATCATGTCATATTTACTTTTTTTCTGTTTGAAAATATTCTATGATTTCCAAGTGTCATATTTCCTTTTTTTTTCTTCTTCATTTCTTTTATAAACAAATAGATTTCACCTTTATTTCCTAAAACTAATCAATTATATTAATTTATTTATTAACATCTGAAATTCTTTTTCAATAGTGTTTGTTTGGATATGGTCACTTAGTGATAGCCCTTGAAAAAAAACAAACAATTTCAGTTTCATAAAAAATTTTGATTTGGTTTCATGGTACAAAAATTAAACCAAAAAAGTTGTTTTTTTGGTTAAACCCCCTTAATTAATACTATTAAAGTTGGCAATCAGGTTGATGGACAAAATATAATTGGTATATAGTGTTATAGTTAATTTTGTATGGTAGAATCTCTATTTAAATTTTACCTATGTTTTTGTTACAGATGTTGAAGAATATTAGTCAAACAACATTTGATGATATTGTGTTTGAGAACATGAGAGAGTTTGAGATGAATGTCACTGAAGCAATGGAAGATGCTGTACAGCAGCTTGAATCTCAGGTAAGTAAAAAAAACAATTCTTCTACATTCTTATGGTAAGTACTTTGTATATGATGTACTGTTACATATCTGCTGACTCAATAAGAGGAATATTAAAAAAAGTACTAGATATATGCACAGTAATTTGTAGACTAATGAACTTTTTTAAAAATAAACTTGTCTAAATTTTGTAAAATTCAGAAAGCAGTGATCATATGATGAATCTAAACTGGTGTCAGTTTAAACTGACATCTTTTTTTCCTAATTATAAACTATAATTTAGAAAAGTAAAAATAACACTGAAATATACATTATTCGGACTAAGTGGCGACCCAGAGACATTAGATAAAGAATTGGTCAGTATATGTAGTACCCCACAACATAACAACTACCCTGGGTACATAGCAGCAGCCAAAAAAAAACTGGGATAGGCAGGTACAAGAGGAGGACAACAACACTCAGAAAACAGTCTTCCTGCCTTATGTGAAGGGGTTATCAGAGAAAATACAAAGGATCTGCAGTCCATATAACATCAGGACAACCTTCAAAAGCTTGACAACACTTCGCAGATATCTCTCCCGAGTATGACCCCCCCCCCATAGAGGAGAACATGACTAAAGACTGTGTACGCTATCCTGTGCAGCTGCAGAAAGAAATATAAAGGGGAGACAGGCTGCCCCTTTTAAGGTAAGGCTTAAGAATACCAGAAAGCTGCAACACAAGGGGAAGTGGAAAAATCAGGCGTAGCTGACCACATATGGAGGGAGAAGGGAGATCACCGCCCTCTGTGGGATCAGGTTGAGATCATATATAAGGAACACCATTGGAAAATTTGTAAACTTAAGGAATCAGCACATATACCAGGCCACAAAAATCTCCTGAGCCGACCAAGCATAGAAATGAATACAATATGGGAACCAGTAATAAGGAATGCCAGAGAAAAGCGATAACAACAAAAGTTGCAATATGAGCTCTGGAAAAAACAAATGATAACAGCATAAATTACAATATGAGCACTGGTAAAAATGGTTGCTGAGACATTAGGTTTATAATACCCAGAAATTCATACACAGATGTCCACATGGCACAGTAGATAAAGGTGTTGGTTAGATCCAGTGACAGGACCCAAAGAGTGAGAGTTCAATACCCGGTTAAGGCAGTGGAGAACTTCCTGATAACTGATATCCATTAAACATGGCACTTGGAACTAGAACAGTCTACCCCAGTGAGCGAAATAAAGGGTTCAGTTCGACATTCCAACCACCTGAAGAAGGCCAGAGCATACAACAGCCGAAATGTTGTAATAAATATGGTGACAAAGATGAGGACAATAGTCCGAATAATGTAAATAATGTACATAATACCTCATCTCAGAAATATAGACAGACAAACTGAAATGTGTTGAAAAATTTCCAAGTTTTCATCTGAAATCAAGAAAATATGAACTTCAGGCAAAATGGTCATAATATATAGACACTAGGAGGACATGGGTCAAAAGTGAAGTTATGCATTTACTTTTGCTTTAATATCAGTGGATATTATCAGTTTTATATCAATGTTTTTTGATTGTGAACACTTTTTTGGGCTCAAGAAGAATATGTACATTTCTTTGTCTTGTGTTTTTGTACATTTTCAAGTGATGAACTGAACTTCAGAAAAATAAAGTTTACTCAGTTCAATGGTTGTACACAGAAATACATCAGTGTTCATATGATTTTATTTTAATAAATTGTTTGTTTGTATCTGACTATGCCTCAAGGGTCACATTTTAAGCAATCACAACAAATGTATTCAAAGTTATATCTGCAAAAATGTTAAAAAATGAGAACAGAATGACAATAAAGAACCATAAATAAATAAAAGAAAGAAAGAAGCTATATTTATTAAACTCTGGTCACTAAGTTTGTTTACATTTTAAAATTGCTGTTTTTAACAAAGGCTGACAGATTTAAGGTTGATTATATACTGCTCATATTTGTTCATTGCAAAGTTTGGCTGTTTGTACTCAATAAAAATAAACACCAAACACAAACAGACTGGCTTTAATTGTTGTTGGTGTCGTAATTTTATCCTTATAGCCTATCATATAAATTAAAGGTGTAGGGTTTTGGAATACAATGAAAATATTAGCACATTTGTTTAAAAAATCTAGAGTAAAATCTTAATTCAGTCTTAAAATATTTAAAAATTAGTTAAAAAAAAACAAAAAAAAAAACAAGCATACCAGATGTTTTGTATCTGGTATGCTTTTTTTTTTTTAACCCCCCCACACCACCACCACCACCAAGCAAAAATCACCACACTTAGAGAATATGGTCTTTACCCAGTATTTTGTATTTTGCTGCAAATGAATAAATGAGAGATATGGCAGAAAACTTTTTTGTTTAATATCTGAACATTCTGGCTTCATGAAGCATACTACAGATTGTATTAAATTATTTAAATTAATTGCAAATTTTTAACCAGATCAAACATAGGAAAAAAATTATGGACACACTCAATTTTGAGGAAAGAATGATAGAAAAAATTCTATTTTACTTTGTTGCTCCTGCTCAAGCTTTTATGACATTTTTTGATGTATTAACTTCATTAATGAAAAACAATATTCTCCATCAAACTGATTCCAGCTTTCTTCAGTACTGGTTGACAGATCAGATTTGCAAGATGGTGCCTTGTCAAGGACCAGTTAAAAAATTGCACAATAAATTTTCAATCAGGCTGAGATCTGGACAGTTTGCTGGCCATGTTATTGACCCTTCCTGAAGAAGCTCTCTTTGTATGATACATTATCATCCTGAATAATAACTTCATTGATCTAATAATAAGTGTTCAAAATTTGACTGTTGATGTGCTTCATCTCATTGGTCTGACTTGTAACTTTATATCATAAAAGATTGAGTAAATTTTCTTAAAAACCTGGAAATTAGTTCATTTTGAATAATTTTTTGTATATAGTGAAGATTTGAAAACATGACAAAGGGTAGAATTCATAAAAATTGGCTAAAAATAATTATTTTAGACATCATAACTGACCTACAATTATTTTAGACAGAGTAAAATGATAAGATGCATTTTAGAGAAAGCTTTAATGCATTTTTTGTTGTCAGTCATTTTCAGAGTAATGAAGCAGGTGGGTATGAAAAAGTGTTCTTGTGTATTTTGTGAATCATATAACATAACTGAAACACTTTTCCTTATTACAGAATATAGTAAATAAAAAACTTTTTTGTTTAAATTCTCATTTAGTTATTTTTATCTTATCACTATTTGACATTTCAGCGTATTGACATTACAGTCATTGTTCAAGATGAAAAAGTTTACTCAAATAAGGACAATGGTCCTATAGTGCACACTGTTGTGAAATTGGTGGAACAATTAAAAGAATCTCTGAATGATGCCACTTACAATAATGTAGAAGCACAAATTATTCTTGACAAATTCATAACTGAATGTATGGAGACACATGCTAAAAATTCTCTTGCAGGAAGACATGGAGCTTATGAAGTTTTGCTTGATTATATAAAGAGGTGCAAAGATTCTGAAGAAACAGAACTTTTGACAAAAGTCTTGAAGGCTCTTGAAGTACTTTTGACTGGTCAGTCAAAAATTATGAAGCCAATTGATACTCCTTTATTTTTGGAATTAACTGATGTCTACCATGACCAAATTAATATTTTGATTCAAGTCTTCAAAGTTATTTGTGTATCATGTGTTATCAATGAAGCTAACAGGCAGACATATGTGAAGAACAAAATAGTGAAAAAATTGATGGAACTGTTACTCAATTATAAGAGAGAAGCCCTGGTAGTAAAAGAGATCTGTTCTGTGTTGTGTGTGCTGACTATTGATGATGATGCTAGTGTACCATTCGGTCAGAGTCATGAAAATTCCAAGCTGATTGCAACAGAAGGAAATGGACTGAAGTTGATTTTAGAACTCTGCAAAGGTAAGCAATAAATATTTTCTTTTATTTAAAGTAATTTGGTGTTTATTCAGTTAAATTCCTAGTATTTAACTTTTATAAACTAAAACAGTAGAGATCTCTGTTTTAAAATACTTTGCTAGCCATTGTCTGTCCTGGTTATATATGGTTCATATGTGCCTAATTGCATTTTTTCAGGAACATAAATTTTGTTTATATTGAATTTTGATTTAATTATTTTTAGAAAAAATGAATCCTTTTTTAAATTGTAGAATACATTCAAGATGGGTTAATATTGAAGGAATTGTTCCTGACACTCAGTAGATTGTTGGTGCGTACAGAATACTGTCAGCAAATTTTGGACTTGGGTGGTATTCCATTTTTATTGTCTGCATTCAGAGAAAACATAAACAATGCAGTAAGTACAACTTTGCTCCTTTTTTTTGTACACATAATGTATATATTTGGTTTTATCTCTTTACAGAGGAAGCAACCAGTTGATAACATTAAACAAAAGCTATAAAAATTAGAACAATTTACATTTACTCGCTTGCTTCTACGGGGCTGTTCACCACACTCCCCCCTGATCTCATGATCACAAAACATACAGTCGCGAGCAGGTCATTTTTGCCGGGTACTTTGTCGAGGGAGTGGAGCAACACAAGCTTCATCTTCAGATGAACTGTCATCAGGGTAGCTAGCAGGATGTACCACATTAGTATTTTGGACGCTAACAGTTGGGGAGTCGTCTTCCCCATTTGTGACCCATTCTAAATTTAGTCGTGCACCTCCCATGTGGAAATTTCACCCAAAGGACGTCTCCCACTTCATATGCTCCTTGAATATTCTGCGATTCAATGGGGGACATAGCCTTGATGCCCCATACACGGGTATGGTACCTATAAAGTGCATCAGCTGGTGCAGTGCTAGGCGAATGATTATCTTTAGGTGTAACGTTATGCCAGTAAACTGCCTCCGGTATAGAGCACTGCTTTCTAGCTGCAATGGTTTTGATGCTTCGGTGACTTCTTTCTACTATACCATTCCCGGCAGGTGCATAGGCACACCGGAACCGCAACCGTACACCCCAATTACTCAAAAAATTCTTGAAATGTTTGCACGTGAATGCTGTGTCATTGTCTGTCAATATCTCGAGTGGTGGACCCCGTTCATAAGAAATTGCCTCTAACTGCTGAACTACTTAGTAGAATCTTGTTGACATAGTGGATGCCATATTGCGAACCGAGAGGGTCCACAATCAATAATTGTCAGAAAGTGCTTACCACCATGGTGAGTGATGTCTATCGCTAACCTATTCCAGTTGTCTCTCACGTTCAGCTTTCCTTTTCGCCAATGCACTGGAGCCGGATCAATGGTTTGGCACGCCTCACATTCCTTGACAATGGCTTTTACCACTTCTGACGATACTGAAGGGTCTATCAACCTAACAAAGTACAGGGTCCTTCTTATGCCCGGGTGTCCGGTTTTTCGGTGGATATTAGCCACTTGGCATGCGTCCACCTTGGTCGTTGCAGTGACGCATACTGAATGCACTGGCTCCGTTTCCTCCTTGTGTAGGTTTAACCACTTTTTTGGCACCCTGGTCAGCCAGTCTGCTAGATTCATGTTGGATTTGACCAGTATTATGTCCACTGTCAAGCCATATTCAGCTACAAGCTCGCGAAGTGTGTTTAGCTGTCTCCACACTAACATTTCCCCAGACACCTTCGTATTTATTTGAGCCTTGCCAGTTAAGGTGTTCGAAATCCACTGATAAACACATGCTGAATCAGTAAAAAGATACTTGCCATTGAAGAGCCAAATTTACACCCTTTATCGTTGCGTCTAGCTCGGCCAAATTGATGTGCTTACCATCTCCAACCGGGCGTAGCCACGATGCATCCTCAATAACGTTTCCATCTACCTCTAATATGACACCTGTGGCTACGAAACTCGCATCCACCCATACGTTCATTTCGCAGCCACTCACACACCAGTCTCCTCCTACTGGATCGGCCTCGCGTATTCTGGCTATGATGTCAGTAGCCCGGATCTGTTTCCCTGGCACTCTGAGGAAATGTGCCCAACCTTGTTGCACCGAAAACACTGTATTCCGCGGCAGGATCATCGGGTCTGGGTAGCTGTCTTCTCCGAGTAGCCTTGCCTGCAATCCTTTGCCAGGTGGTTGGGACCAAAACATTTAAAGCACACAATGCAGCCCATCAGTTGAGCTTCTATATTCGTCTGTTGAGCTGCTGTGGCAACTGACTCATCCGGCTCTTTGCTATCGGTCATAATGGCCCGAGCGCGAGTCAGGATCTGGTCCAATGTCATAGTGTCCATTCAGGATGATGCACGGAGAAGTTGTTTGACTTGTTGCGGCAGTCCAGAAACGAAGGCACATGTCATCCATCGTTCAGGCAGTTGGCCGCCAAACAACAAAGCTAGTCGTTTCAGCTCTGCTAAAAATTTGTCTACCGTTTCCCCTGGCCGAAATCGTTGTGACACAAACTGATCATATGCAGTGAATGAATCCACCGCATATGCAGTTATAAGGGCCTGCTTAATCTGCTCTGGATCTGACCTCTGCTCCTTTGTCAGTTGCCGATATACAGAGAGAGCTCCGGCTCACAAGCGCAGTGGCAATACCCGCTCGACTTTCTTCATCTCGCAAAGTTCACAAACCAACTTTTCAATCCATTCTACAATTGGTAGATCGGTAGCAGCTCTCCTGAATTCAGGTATCGGCCTGATATCGAAACTTCTGTCCACCATGATTAGAGAAAACGCCGAAATAGCTTGTAGATTAAATAAGTCTACTGCTCTCCCAGCAGTCACTTGTACAAATCACAATATCGCTGGTTCAATTCACCATCCTCGATTTCTTTACACGTCACTACGTATAGCCAACGTTTCTCCTTTTCTTTCACGGCTCCAGCACTCTTTTATCAGGCCAACACCGCGGTTCCCCAGCCAATCAGTGTTCTTCGCTGTTATTCTCAGTTACACAGGCAAATTGCCTCCTTCAGTTCGACCAATCAGCACACGACTTGCTATTGGTGGAAGCATTCCAAACTGTACAAAAAAACCCTCATCCTTGCACATACTGCTAGAATGGCTGGACGGGAGAGTAATGCCATTTTCATGAAGCAAACTTGCTGATGTCACGTGCCGCATGTTAAGGTAAGACCCTTATTTTCCTATACACCAGATGCAAGCCACTCTGGCTCGCTCGCTTCTATGGGGCTGTTCACCACAGTCAGAAAAAAGATTTCTTACAAATTATTGGGAAAGAGTTTGCTGTATACTTTCACAATGGACTTCAGTTGAGCTAATTTAATGTATCATATGCACCAGAAAGAATTACTACCTAAACAGCATAAGTAGTTCATGAAATTCCAATTTGAGACAGTCTCAAAGTAGATGACCATTGCAACATGATAGATATGGTAGTAATTGCATTTTTAAATTAGCTTTCTGTATCAAGTTTGAACAGAAATTATTTCTTTTTGCTATTTATTTTGTATTCATTTCAGGCTCTATGTCAGCAAGTGATGCTTGTGCTCAAACATCTGGCTGGTAATGACATTGTAAAAGAAGCAGTTATCACCAATGGTGTGATGGAAATTGTAGTGGTTTCTATGACTAAGCATAGTAGAATAGCATCCTTATGTACTGCTGGTTGTGCACTGCTTGCCGCTCTAGCTTTGCGTTGTCCATCTAATGTTGAAGCTATCATGGCTGCCAACGGACCAGAACTTCTTGTTCAAACAATGAAACTTCATCCAGATTCAGCAAATGTTCAGGTAAAATGATTTTGGATCTTACACCACCTAATTTTGGTTCTTACAGTTAATTATTCATCTTAGTAACATAGTTTCTTTTTTCAGTATATTTTTAACTTAAAAGGTAAGAGAGCCTGACAATATAATTTTTACACTGATTTGAGACAGCAAAAAGTGATGCAACCTTATTGAGACGTTTTAAAATATTGTAAGAAAAAATCAAGTTAGCCATTTTTATGTGTACATATAGCTCAGAGTAAATGATGATTTTAGTTTAAATAATAAGTATTCGAGTTTTCTTTATTTGAATTTGTTACTAAGATAAATACTTCTGTAATTTATTAAAGGATAACCATTTAAGGAAACAAAAAGTTTTTCAATAAAGTAGGTATTTTCTTATCAAAATAATGTTGCTTGAATATAAAATTTAATATTTTATAGCAATATTTATATAATTACTGTCCATTTACAGATTAATTTATATGTAGCCTGGCCCCCACATTGATCTTCAGGTTCCTTCAGATCACCGTAATTAACATTTAGCTGACTCCTCACTTGTTAATGTGTTGCTGGGCATGGTTCCACTCAATCTAGTCTGCTTTATGATCCTTCATTTTTCTGCCCTGTTGTGTTTTTGATCTCAGTGGTTGAGAGAATTGCTGACGAAATTGCTGTTACCTCCTTATTTGAAGTAACTTTGAAGTATTTCTTTTCAATATTCAGATCAAATATCATCAATCCTTCTTTATGATACCTTTTTCTTCTTTTCATTTTTTTTTTTTTTTTTTTTTTTTTTTGGCTTAGCCCTCACCTCACTCACCTGAGCTATCATCCTTTCTATTATATTCACTGGGGCGTCCTTTGGTAGTTAAAAATTCTTCTTGTGAGATCTCTTGGCTTTTGTCTCTTGGTTTGGGTGGGGTCTTTCGTTTCAAGGTTGAGGGTAACCTTCTCCCATCCCATCTATCTGCATACCTGCATTGTCTGCACCATGTTCCAATCTCCTGCACTCAATACACCTGGGTTTAATGCAATCCACTGCTTCCGGAGTTGCTCGCCACTTGGTTGGACAATTCCCTGACCTATGGTTTTCATAACCACATTTCAAACAACCAAACCTGTATCTCCTGGGTGTTCACCTGAAGAACTTGTATCTCAAGGATCACTGTTTTCTATGGAGATCAACTTTATCTTCCCAATTTTGGGGGCGTCCCCTATAGTTTTCCTGTCCCTTTGGTGTACCCAGGGTCCTTTTACCACCATTAACGCTGTTACCCTCCTGACCCTGAGCTAGACCTTGGCACCCACTCTTCCCTCTAATTCTCTCCTAGAGTTTTGCACTCATCAAGTTCTTCTTCACTTCTGCTGAGGTTCATCATATTTTTAAATGTCTCTCTTCTCATTATTATAAACTAAGCAATACAACTTCAAACTTATTACCTGGCAACATTCCAAGACAAGAGACAAAAAACAATAGGGAAACCAAGTGTCTTACCTGTACTTGATTTGTCTGCCTGGTAGGTTGATGTTAGCACTTTCAGAACTGAATAGCCAAATGACTAAAATCCCTTTGTTCTTACTCCTGCATATATTTTCACAACTTGATCAGGTTGGATTCTGTATTCCTAGGGGCTGCTCTCTTCCAAGTTACTATTTTCTAACTTGCTATCTTCTAAGGAGCTGCTGGTTTCCAATAATGTAGCCCAGCCTCCACATTGGTCTTCTTCCTTCAGACCATTGTGGTTACCATTTAGACTCCTCTCTTGTTAATGCATTGTTGATGTGTCACTGGTATTATGTTGATGGGCATGGTTCCAATTCGATCTAGCTGGTGTTTTCCTGCTTCATGATCCTTCACACCTCTGCCATGTTGTGTTTTTGATCCCAGAGGGTGAGAGAATTGCTGATGAAGTACACTGAAGTGAAGGGCAGGTTAATGGTGAAGAGCTACACAAAAAAAAATTCTTTGGAATTAACTCTGGTTAAAAATGTAACAATTATTTGGTTTATATATGATTTGGTTTATATATATGATTTGGTTTATATATGATTTGTTGTATACAGCAATTTTAACCCTTCCCACTTATTGTTATAATCAAATGACATTAGGATTTCCTTTTGAGTATACAGCTTGTGTTATTAGTAACTTAAATTTCTAAGTTCTGGTCTTCAGGGCTGGCATAAGGTCTTGGTCAGGAGGTCTCAGCAAACAATGTGAATTCCAGTAGCAGTAATGTGACGACTCTTTAAGTAGTCCAAATTTCCAGCTTATGTAGAGTCCTGCATCTGGCAGGGGTGGAGTTGAACAGGGTTTGGGTTGGGTTATCTCCCCCCCCCCTTCACATCAACCTTTTCTAAAATTCCATATTTTCAAAATATGAGTGATTTTCCAAATTTGGGAGTTGTCTAGCCCCCTTTTGAGAGTGGTCAGAGGAATCAAGTGGGCCCCTTAACTCCAACTCTGTTCATGTTTCATCTCACACCATCGCTCCATATAGGCGGTGCTAATCTCTCTCTCTCTTCCTTCTCCCACTTTCTCAGAATCTAACCTCAGCCCATTCCAAGGGCTGGCATATCATACCTATGACGAATACAAACTTTCAGAATGTGTGGGCAAAAAGGGATTTTCATTAATTAATCTTTCTTTATAAGTTTGTCTCATGACAAATGTCACAGAAATTAAAATGAACGAACTTGTCAGGCTAATCTCTGTCTTTGTAGGGACACTTTTCTTCTGGGTAGCTGATTCAAGCCAAATGTTTTTCCTGCCTCTTTGTCCAGAACAATCTTTATATGTTATTTTGTTGACCTCCCGGATTTCTTTATCAACAACATATTTTTCTATTTGACATCTTTGAGGATAAATTAATGGTCTCTTTCTTATCGGCGTGAAGGGAAGGATTGGTAGTCTTGGTTATGTTCAATCTTACTGAATTTCGTCTAGTTAAATTTGTGTTCGTTTTTTCTTGGCACTGTTCAGGAGTTCATTTATTATTTTGAAAAATGATTTTTTAACATTTTGTTTTTAATTTTCTTCTCAACTTTTCAGTCAATCTTCTGGCGAATTTCAACAATTATCCAGTTAGTAGACTCTTTCCTCTTCTTTTTTTTTTCTTTTTTGTTTGATTAAACCCTTGAGTTTCTAGTGTCACATCACTCCCTTACCCATTTGTCATTGACACCCAAGCTTCACCTTCCCCTTTTGTTGAAGCTAAAAGTTTTCATTCAAAAATAAATTTCACTAAACTTGCAGTAGGAATAAAGTCTTTTTTTTCTGTTATCATGCACCTGGATATCTCTGTCCATTTTGTTTATACAAAAATAATATATAATTCTTCAATCTTTAATTGGGGCTGACATCACCCCTTACAATTTAATTAATTCACAAGTTTCTACTAATTGTGCAGTAGAAATAAAAAAACCTGGATATCTGTCCATTTTTGTCTCTCTCTCTCTCTCTCTATATATATATATATATAATTATTTATTTGAAAATTATAACATAAATATGTTATAAAATCACCACAAAAATAGCCATTTTGTTTCAACACTTCTGGTGTCTTATCAAATGATGGTGTTGAATGTAGAATAAAGGGTTTTAAAAGGTTTAAATCAATCAAACACCTATCACTAGGGGAAACACTGTTACATAAGTTGGAATGACCAATCAAAATACAAGTATATGAGAATTCAAAAAACTTGACAATGAACTTTGGTTATAATAATTATTTAATGCTTTAATGTTAGGGTTAGACTAAAATAGAATTCATTCTAATAAATATTAAATTATACTATAATATTCAAAATTTAAAATTATAAAATTATTTAAAGAAGAAACTGATAAAAAAGGACATATGTTTTTCTATTTATTTTGTTTTTATTGAAATTAAGTTGGAATAAACGTTAAGATCTAATGCTGTTCTGAACTCCATTACAACTTAGATACATTTGAAGTGAAGACATGGGAAGGAAGGATGAAATCTTGCAAAAGACAATACATACATAATCAGATTATAATACACAAACACGCAGACATATTTAGATATATAAACACGCAAAAATGTGATGAGACAGAAAATATGTTCACAACCCTTAAAAAAATGGACAACATACACACACACAATGAAAGGCACACACAAGCGACCATACACAAACACACACCGACAGATACACACACATACATACATACATTGACAAAGACATGCCCATACACCCACCAAGAAATATTCAAGTTTGAAAGTGTTATTAAACGAAATCTAACATCTTATTAAATTATAACTTATATGGGCAAAGATATATAGATAAAAATGGTTGAATAAAGTTCAACATGGGCAGAACAGAAAAACAAACATTCATCAATGAACAACATAAGGAAAAAGGACACTAAAACATACAGACATGGACAGAAAAATAGATATATACGCATAAAAATAACACCATCTAATATATAAAAACTCCCAAACATACAAATATATATAAATATCTCATATACACCTATATACGCACTAGTACACATACATGAGTACAAATATATAACAATATGTGAAAGAAAATAAAAAATACATATAGACATGTGTACACAGATTCTTCACTAGACAGAAACACACAAAAGCATACCTACACACACAAGTGACCAGATGTAAGCAAGTGTATACATTTATTTACTTTTAGCAACATAGACCTTGAACCCGACAAGCTGTAATTCAGCAAAACTTAAGTCACACACCAACACATAGGTACTAGTATATGTACTAATTAATATATATATATTTATATATTTCTGTAATTGAGGCTCGTACCACCCCTTACAATTTACTTCATTAGTTTCTATGTTTTTTTTTTTTCCATTTCCATAGTTTATCTTTCCTATTTATTCTTTCTTTTAGGGGAAAGTTTTAATTTTTCCCCAGCAAGCTTTAATTTCTCTTCAGTATGTGCCATTTCCATTTTCAATTCGTTTGTTGAATCTCGGGTTAATTTGACCTGCTTTCATAAAGAACACTGAATGGTGTCTCTCTCTC